CCCTTTTGACGGTTTCAGTAAAGCCGGAAAGATGTACCCGAAAAGGGTTGGACAAGCGTGCTTCAACAGCTTAAAGCAATCACTGTTCAAGCGATTTGTTTAAACACAGGGTGGCAATGAGGGCGATGTGTTTCAGCATGCTTCACCCCGAAGGCGGTGTTTACACATTGCCAAGTCCAGCGCAAGCCTGCAGAGCGCACCAAGGTCCAAGGTGTGAGACTGTTGCTTGTGCATCGGGAAGAAACCGAAGCCATCCCAGCCCGCCCCCCGAAGAGCCTTCTTAATATTAACTTTGGATTAATCTGTTTAAAGGGAGGGTCCCCTTGATTTAGTTGGGGGGTCCCCGGACTAGTATAGGGTCCCCTGACTAGAGGCGTTCTTCGGAGGGTTTCGAGAACCTTTCTCGAGGGGAGGGATGCCTCTCCTTTCGGCAGCTATAACACCCTGGCACCTTCCAAGTCTACGATACCCTGCGCACGTGTGCGAGCCGCGTGGGGCACGAGCCCGCATCGAATCATCTGACATGTCTAATCCGCGGAAAAACAACGAAAAAGCACCAAGCAAACAAAGGCCACGGGCCCGCCATGCCCCCCAGCCCCCAAGGGCAGCTGGAATCTCTCCAAGACCATGGGGTCTTGGTTGAAAGTTGTGGGGGGGTCGGGGGGCAGGGGAGCGGGGAGGGAGCTTCATAAAGCCTTGTTTGTGGCTTAGTTTGGCCCCCCAGGCCCCATGAAAAACAGAAACCCTGGGAATCGATGGCCTCCCACGCCGATGCCCAAAGTGGTGGACTGCGCAGACTCCACCAAGGGCTGGAAGCTGGTGCGCACGAAGACCAGGATCAGCCTGGGGCGGTGGGGTCGGGTCCTTTGTTAAGGAGGGCAGTGGGAAGGGCACGGAAACTGGCGGAAAAATCGCTTGAAACAAGGTGCGATGGATTCGATAATATGAAACAACCAGACCCTGGTTCAGGGTGTCTCAACAGTGGGTGTTTCAGTTGGGGTGGGGGCCTTGAGGGGGATTTGGCAATATGTCTTTTTCAGAAGGAAACCAAAATAGACGTCTATTTGTATAATTCCAACCGACGGGAAACAAGGTGCTAAACAGGTGGTCTCAACAAGTCGCACAAAAAAAAACACCTCCCCTGGTATCCATCGGGCAAAATAGAAATGGCTGATTTAGAGGCCAGCCAAACCCATCCGAAATCCCAAAGGTTTGAAAGAATCCCTCGAATCATCCAGGGGTTTGGAGCAAACCTTTCAGTCACAAGACGTTCACAGGAAGATGGTAATCCAAATCACAGCTTAACAGCACATCCCGCTCACTTGGATAGAAGCCTTAGGCGCGCTTGGCTCTAGCCAAAGCTGCCTTTGACTCGTTTTGAAAGAAAAAGCAAGGGCACCCTGGCAAAAACTGAAGACTGGCCTTTCTTTCTGAACCACCTCAATCCAGGCCGGCCATCACGCAAAACCTTTGCCTGGGATGTCAGAGGGGAGAAGTAGGAGAGAGACCTTTCGGGATTCCCCAAGAATTTGAGACATCCCCAAGGTTTACTTTTTAGGACTCCCCGAAAAGCAAGCGTAATTCAGTGCGCCATGTCAGACATTTGGGCCCTGAAGGCGGCCCAGCTTGCAATGAGCATCTGACGGATCCGACCCAAAAGTTGTTCACTTGGTAAGAGGAAATGCAGGAAACCCAAAGGGGCCAAAAACCAAAAAGGTGAGTTATGGCAATGTCGACTTGCTTCATCCATGGTTTCGTCCCAAACTCAATCCATTTTCCCCGTGGTTTTCCATGTCACGGCTTGATCATCTTTTCCGGATCTCGGAGGCCTGTACAAACCCTGCCTCTGGGGCCTCGACAAGCCCACCAGGTGCGCAACCTGCAGAAGCTCCAGCTCGCCCTCATAGGCCTCGGGGTGAGCATACCCGGTCCTACCAGGTAGCCTGTTGCATAGCAGCAGTGGGACAGGGTAAACCAAAGAATGGGGGAACCCGAGGGAGTGCTTCCCGAAAGCAACACTAGAGGTACCAGGGAAACCAGAAGAGAAAACAGGAAAACCTCTGTCACCTACCGTGGCAACACAAGTCCATGGTCCAAGGGACAAGTGGCTCTCTAGTTTGCCCATGTCCAGTAGGGCAACAGGGTTCAGTCCTCAAGCATCGCCCCAATGCCCAGTCCACAACTTAAAGGCCAACCCACAAGGAGGTTGTTTCAGAGTCAAAATCCAACCCTCCCACCTGCCAGCTTTCGGTGGCCCGGCTGCCCCCTTTCTGTCGCTTTCCTTGCGTCACCAAAAAAGTGGCAAAGCTTCGCAAAACTATGGTCCCATGCCCTGGGTGTGTAACTTAATTTTTTAATCTCCAATACTCGTTCTCGCGGATATTTCCCAGAATTCGTCGCGACTGCCTGGGGCTAGGATTAAAACACTCAACCAAAAGTGGAAAAGGGTGAAGGTGTGGTTGGGCAGCTCAGATTGTGAGCTGTGGTGGCTTGCAAGAAGACAAACAAATGAATTTGTGCCCAAATTGGGGAACCCCGCAAGTGGTTTTCCTTTTGGTTTCCCTTCAACCAAAAAATTGGTACTTCAAAAAAGTACACCCATTTGGAAACAAGGCCTTTCATATAGACCAAAAAACAACTTGCCAGCATTGAAACAAAGAACAGGGTTCCTTGCTCCTTAAGCATCACCCGAAAGGAGATTAAATTGGAAATGGATCCGAGGCTGATGTGTAAATCCTAGAAGACAAATGCCAGTACTACGCCATCAATGAGTTTTAACTATCTGCAGAGTTCCCGCAGGTCGGATGTGTCCTTAGATCAGATTTGGTGCAGGCCCGTGATGACCACCCAAACAATGGGACTTATAGGTCGGCCAACCCAATCCCGAATGAGGTCGTGATTTCACGCCGGTGGTTGGTTTGAAGAACACATCGACCCTACTGTGGATGGACAAAATCCTGCACCAAGTTGAAACCATGGGAAACCATAGTTTGTGGGTATTTACAGCGGAATCGTCATTCCAGGGTTTCTTAGGTGGTGCAGGACTTCGTCCTTCCACAGTATTTCAGCCCCCCCCCCCCCCGCCCGCTGCAGCTCACAACGCGCTTTTTGTTTTCCTCGGCCTGGTCAGCGCCACACAAGAAAAAGGAAGGATAACCATTCCGGGAGAGCGGCAGCTGCCACACACTTTGCATTGGTAACCCAAAACAGAGTTGGGCACCCTCTGTTTATTCCCCTTCAAATTTACATGGTCTCCTTTGGGGGACCCTCGTTTTGGGGTCCATGTTGATTTGTAATAGAGGAGTAACCATGCTTCAACACCTATTGAATACTTGCTGTTTCCACAACCTTCTTTTGGTTGCCCGTTTGGACGGTGTCAGGGTCTTGGTAAAACAATCGTTGATCAAACCTTCCCCAAAGTCTGCCAAATAAAGCCCGGGCCCTTTAAAACAGAGTTGTTCGGGTTTGTCTCTAAATGGAGACCCCCAAAATGGTTGACTCCACTTTTGGTGTCCCTGTAAACCAATTGAAATGGGGTTCCCGAAAAAGACCAACTCATTTGAGGGTCCTGAGGTAATTGGAGGATGTTCTCTAGCAGGGTCCGTGAGCATTTTGACGGATCCATGAAGAGAAGACCCTTGTTTGTCTCCTCGACCGCTATGGAAAACAGTACATATTGACATTCAAAAAGTGGCAGTGCAACGTTGGAATGCTAGACTTGAGGCCCCTTGGGAGTTACTTTGGAATCGCAACTGGAAGCCCATCCCACCTCATCTCCAATTCAACTACCAGCGTAAGGTCACGCATCCATCAACCCAGCAGATTTGGGGTGATGTCCCCCGCCCCGCAAAAGAGAAAAGGAACAACAAAAACGAAACGTGAAGGATCCGCTGACACCTGCCTATTTATCAACCAGGGATTGATTAATCATGGGGCGACATTGTGAGCACGTCTGCTAGAACCAACCAAGAATGTTGTGTTTGAATCTGGTCCACGTTTAGCGAAGCTGACAATCTAAAATACTTACAGAGGTTACAGAGATCCCAGTCAACATCTGCTCCTGGAGCAGTCCATTCAACGTCTCAAAGGGCGTGGCTGCGCTCGACTCAAGGGCCTTCTGCTTAGCAGAATTCAACGTACGAGCCCACTGTTGGAGCTTGGACTTCGCGAGGCCCAGTAGCTTCGTCTGCTCTTGCAAGGATGTCCGGGCCCTAATGCTGACGCTGGATCAATGACCCCTGGGTTGATTTTGATTGGTCGGAGTCGACATTTTCGAATTTTAATTGGGCACCCTGGGGTGGACTTCAAATGTCTGGGGACATTATTTGTCCACCACTTGTGGTCAGTAGTTCCAGCTCTTAGAATTCCCGCGGAATCGGCAAGGAACCTTCAAAAAATATAGTTTGGTTGTCTGTCTGCATTGGATTCCGTCTAACAGTCTAACATATGCAGGGCAAATGGTTGCAGTTTCACTCGCCGGAGTTTGACCACCGGCATTTCAGCATTTCTACTCCAGGCCCACATAAGTTGCATATCCAAATGCACATTCCACTGTTTCAGAAGCCAGCTCAGGATTCAATCTCGCTTTGTGCTGAAGCAATTGTCCAAGACCTTCATATTTATTTTGTGTCAAGGCTTCAACGGTTCAAATGGTGTCCCTTTCGTGGAGGTTCCCTTTCAATGGCTTCCCTTTCCAAGTGGATGCCCTTATAGTACATACGTAACCAGCTATCTTCTTTGGGGTTTTCAACTGTCTCATGGAGCCACGCGGTTTTGCTCACGCGGGCATAGCCATTCGACCCAGACACCCATTGGACGTGGACATATTTGGAGAATGGACTGGCTTGTTCGGAAACATGGGGTGAACAACTGGGACTCGGTTGCTTTCTGCTCCCCTGCTAAAAGTGGAAACTGTTAGTGGTTTAATGGAAAACCCAGTAGTTGGCAAGAAGTTAAAGTCCTAACATCCAAGCAAAATGCACCAAACGGAAAGTTGCGTGGCTCGCCATGCCCCGCACCCCAACTTCGCAGGCGAAACGAAGCTCGCTCACACGCGGTCAGTTTCCTCGGTCCCCTCGTACTGCGAGGTGATCTGGCGCATCGCGCGCGACTTGACCCAGTGGAGTGAAAGTGAACTGCTTGGGTCCCAAATATAATTTTTGAATGCTGCGGGACGCAATCCATTTCGCACCACTTTGAAACCATAGCAAACCATTATTGGTTGTTAGTTGCGGGGGAAGAATCACCCCAGGCATTTTTGGGTGGTGCAGGTTTTCGTCCATCCACAGTAGGTTTGTGAAAGAAAACAACACTCCTGGGGGTCGTCTCGGAAAACCAAATATGATGATGAGTCATTTAGAACCCGAACCAATTGCTGTTTGGCATCGCTCGTGGCGCCTGTCTATGCCGTCAGCCCTCAAATGGCTGTGGATTCTGATTTGGGAGTCCCTCCCCAATGCTTGCAGACTGCCAACCCGCCTTTGCTTGATGCACTGCTCAGACTCCTTTTTACCATTGCGCTACGGGTACTTAAAATCTTGGGCCATTCACAACGCACAAGGATGCACAGGGTTCAGGCATGATTGCCACATGTCCCACACCTTTGGGTTAGGGAACCCTTTCAGGTGTGGTCTCCAAAAGAAACCCAAAGGACACCAGGAAACCCACCATTTTGGGGGAGATGGTATCCAACTTGGTTTACCCGTCCCATTTCCACAAACCAACCGGGGGAATAAAACCACCCCCCATTGCGGCAAACCAACAAGAACGGGAGAAACAAGCACCATGTCGGCAAACCCCAAAACCAGGGGGGAGAAAAAAAAAGCTTCGGACCCCCAAAGAGCGGGGCAGAATCGTCGCGGTGCCGCCTGGCTCCGGATCTGCCGCTCCTTCTTGGAGGCCACCCGCCGCGGCGCGGAGAGGCCCGGGGTGCGGGTGGCGAACAAGGCGCCGAAGGGGTCCCCCGAGTCCTCCGAGGTTTCCCAAAGAAACTGAAAAAGGGACCCAAGGGGAAACGAGAAGAGGGCCCAAACAGGGGAACACGAAAAGGGGAACCCAAATTGGGCTCCCCTTTTCAATGGGTACGAAAATGGCATTTGGTCTGCAACACCTGAGCTGTCCAAAGAGCGAACTTTGCTCCCCGACAAACGACTTGAAGAAACCTAAAAAGGGGTCCGTGCAAAAGTGGGCTCCTCTGAAACGGATGGAATACTTAAGCCATGTCCAGGACCACCAACCATCAGACCATCACAACACGCACACACACACACACTAATATCCTGCAGAGTGTGGGGTTAGAGTGGAAAAGGGAGGGAGGGAGGGAGGGAGGGAGGGAGGGAGGGGGGGAGGGCGGGAGGGGGGAGGGGGGAGGGAGGGAGGGGAGGGAGGGAGGGAGGGGAGGGAGGGAGGGGGGGAGGGCGGGAGGTGTTACAACCATTTTGTGAATCAAACAGCGAACCTCCACGCATAGACCTTGAACCTGAACACTTTTTGGTTGGCCCTTCGTACAAGGGCCTAAATGATTCGGGTGGTTTCAGGGTGGTGTTCAACCTTTGTCCCCAAAAAACATAGACCCATTTGGCCCTTGAAAACTATAAAACCGGGCCCTTTCTGGGGCTGGGATACCGCTTGCATGACCCCTTTTTGTTCCAGACAATGAGAGACCGGTTCTACACTGGTATTGGGCGCCCGTTGCGTTGCCAACAAAAGGTGTACGAAAGGAAGAACCCCGGCGGCCCGCCAAGAAAAGCTGGAAGAAGCTTCCCAATAGGCACCTTTCTTGCCGGAAACCATCCAAGAGCAAACAATTGTATGAAAAATGGGAATCAACCATATAGGTGTCCAAAATAGATGGCACTGGTAAATCATGAGAACCAACCTGCGACCAAAGGGAACCCATCTATGTTCAACCAAACTGAATCTAAATACATGGAATCGCCCCTTACTTTGTAGATCCGAAACTCGCCCCTCGCAAGGCCAGCCTCCGGCGGCTTCAGGGTCTTCGCAAGCCTTGGCCGTCCGGGCGTTGGACGCCGCCGCTTGCTTCTGCTTGGCTGGGTTTTGAAGGTTTTGGCCTTAACCAGGTAGAACCACATTTCGTGGCCAGAAGGGTGAAGCTCTGCTCATAGGGGTCAAACTCCTTGGGGGTATGGTCATGGATCCCTGAATAGGGATCCTTGTCGTGTCGGTCTGAATTCCAAAAGTAGACATAACCATCCCTACCAAGCCCAAGTAAAAGGATCGTTTGACCCTGGCAACTGGTGCCTGAACATGACATAACGACTGAAAACAACAGCATTCAAGGGAAAAGCCGACATTTCGCGGGCCTCGACGAACACCCATATTCCCTTTCGGCTCTTAAAGATGAGGGCTCCCACAAGTCGCACGTTGGTTTGTCTTTGGGGAGCCAGATGTGCATTGAGAAAGACAACTCAAACGTTGGGAGTCTCATGGAAAAGCTAGCGAGTTGAAATGGCACCAAAAGCACAAGGGATCCTCAATATCAGCTACGGGTGCGTTTAAACTGGCCCAAACGAATCCTCTCAGAGACCTCACAACTTTTTGTTGAACAACCTCCAGTTCATTTCCCTAACCTAATAATATAGGGTCTATTTTCTGAAATGATTGGATTGAATTTGGGCAGTCGAGTCTTTCTGTGCCACCCTAAAAAGCCCTCAAAAAACAAACTCCCTGAACAAAAACTCCCTCAAATTGTTCTGGCAACACCTCCCGCATTCTCTTCAGGCATCCGTCTCCTCAAAAATTGGCCAATCCCCGAGGAAATTTAGATCGAATGAGTTTTTGGTGAAACCAACCTGAAATGGGGTTCCTCCTCCAGAGAGGTGAAGGCCGAAAAGGCTAACTTCCTTGGAATTGCGCAACCAACCTGAACCTGGGTCTCTCCTTTTTTTGGGATTCGGACATGGCTGTTCTCCTTTTGCTTTTATGCTAAAACCCGCCCAAAACATGGGTTTACAAAAACACCGAGCCTCAAACAAACACACCCGAGACCCCCCATGGCTTTGGTCCGAGCAGCAGCTTGGCCAAGTTTTTCACCGGGGCGTCTGGGTGGCCCTGCAGGCGCTGAGCCGCCAGCCGACCCCCCAGCTTCACCTAGCGAAGGGGTTCCAAGGGCGGGGGGGGGGGCCAGGTGAAGGGCGGTTGGGGGTGGCAGGGGGGGGGGGGGGTCAAGGGCCGGGACGGCGGGGGAGGGGTGCCATGGAGACGGTAGGGAATGACCGAAACTGAAGGGATTTCCGAACAAAGGGAACATATCGGGGATGGTTTTTCTTGGGGTCATTCCAACTCTTTCCCTGCTGAGAACAAGCGAGGAAAAGAATACCCCTAAAGAAGGTTGGCAAAAATCAACCCTAACTCGACATATGTCGTACGGGGGGCTAAAGTGTTGCTTCATTTCAAGGTGGGAAAGCAAACTGATTTGGGGGATCCTTTGGTTTACATTTGGAACATGAAATCAAGGCGGGGCGCTGGTTCCAAGGGGCCAACAGGAACACAGGGAACACACCCCATGGTCTACCCGTGTGGTTCCATCTTGAGGTAGGGGGTTTTGTTTAGAGGTTCTTTTTTTAGAGGGGGAGGTGTAGGCCCCGATGAATCAAACGGCACCAGGGAAATGGGGGCAAGTTTTTCAGGTTCCTTTTGATGTGCCTTTCGATTCCTTTTGCACGCACGCACGCACGCACAAACACCGACACACACACACACACACACACACACACACACATTTTTACCCACACCCCCACGCGTGCGCACACAAAGTAACAAACAAACAAACAAACAAACAAACAAACAAACAAACAAACAAACAAACAAACAAACAAACAAACAAACAAACAAACAATCAAATGCAACCACACACACACAACTCAAATTAAGGGACCCCGCAAAATGGTGGATTTCCTTTGTTGGTTTTTCTTTAAACTAATTAACCTAGTAATTCCGTTTCCCGAACCAAGGGAACTTTTGAAAACTTTTGACAAACCAATAAAATGGATCAGGTTACCTACCATATTCACCTTCCCTCCAATTATTTGGATTGAGTTTGAGGCTTTCCCGTTTCCCCGTTACTCTCTACAAGAGCCTAAGGTTCAAATCGGGATGTCTTTCTTTTTCGGGACTTCCAAAAATGGTGGCGTTCCTTTGTTTCCTTTATTTCCTTTAAAAGCACCGAATGAAACGGTACCCTCAAAACAGACAGACCCAAATCCCCACTTTTGAACTGCAACTGTTCCAAAGGCGCAATCAACGCTTCAGCGCGTCCTACGGCACGGGCCCCCGAGCTTCTGGCTCAGCGCCCCCTTTGGGCGTAAACACCCCTTTGCTCCAATCCAAACCAAACCAACTTCAGCTTCCTTGGTGGTTTGGATTGGTGGTTTCCCATGTACGCGCAAGATTGTAGATGAAAGGCAAAATGCGTTTTGAGTAGTGGCAAAAATCAGCTTCCCTCTAAGAGGGGTTTCCCATTTCCCACAAGAACCCGGGCTTCAAATCCACAAACCAATCCAAACCACCAACAATGACGTACCATACCCTTCCCTTAAAGAAACTCGTGGCATTGCACCACCCCCAATTAAGGGGTAGCTCACAGTTGAGGGTTACCCATCTTGGCTTCCCTGGTCAAGTGCCGAGGCGCCACATGGCCCCGGATCGCCGGGTCCACCGACATGTTGTGCAGCAGCCCGCACGCCGCCATGGCCTCAACCCCGAATGCCCGAACATGGGCCCAAACAACACACGGGATGCCCAGCTGCGCCGTCCGTTCTCTGCTAAAAGCGAGTATAATGTTAGTGGCTTACTGCCACTCAACCAACTCAAAAGCTAGAAACACCTAAGGAACCGGATGGCTGGGAAGCACCATGCCCAAAAATACCGCACGTGCCGGGTGACTTCGAGGGGTATCCTCATCCTGTTCTACCCCCAACCTTCTTGCTTACGGGCAAAAATACACAAAAAAGACCTGGGGTTGGAAAGCACAAGCGTTTCAGGGTCCCAAGCCAAGTCAAATTGGTCCCAAAACTCTTTGGGGGGGGTTCCCCCTGACCCAAAACATGAGTTCCATGCATTAGATACCCTATGTAGACCTAAACCCAGCGAACCCCCTAGGTTTAAGTCTACATCGGGCAAACACAATGGCACCCTGCCCCCCCCCAAATACAACTGGGATCCCCAAAGGGATCCTGGCTTCAGTACAAGACAATTTTCACAAAGAGTGATGCAAGCAAAGTAGCCGGCTATGAGCTCAGATAGGGAAACACCCTCAGAGGTGGTTGGTGGGCATAACATCCAACGAAGATGATGATGGCCGAAAAGTTGCCCATTTCCAACCAAAAATTGCACACCTGCCGTGTTCATCAAAACAAAGTTCAGGGAGCCTCACAACGTCCGTTGGGTTGGTGGGCTTGAATCCTATGAGATTGACACGAAACCCAAAGCTCGATCCGTTTTCGGAATCTCTTGTTGCGCAACCCCCCTTCTTGGGCCTCATTTGCAGGGAGTACATCAGTACATCTCCCTCTTCGGCAAGCTTAAACGCCGCCTTGTTGGATCACCCGCAAGTGTGACCTTTTGGTGCTGGGCAATGCGTCAATTTCCGCTCATGATTTGATTCTTGTCCCCCCTAACCCCACTTCCCTGGGTCTCTCGGCTGTTGAACCCTATCTGCCCGGAACCAAGACCTGAGAGCCATAGTCCTTCCTTCACCTTTCAGAAGGTTCCTTCACCGGCGCGAGAGCCCTGCCAGAGGTCCGGGATTTAGTTTCCAGTATTTGGATGAATCCGGATACCAAGGATTAGGGCGGGGTGTCTTGATGTTCAGAATGCGCTTCGTTTGGAGCCCTAGGACACCAGGAATGCTTCAGTTCGAACCTTCTGATCTATCGAACCGCAACTCGGGGCTGGCTGTGGGTTTCCTCAACCTTTGGCGCCCTCTACACCAAAAAATTAGATGTTCAGATTCTGCTTCAGGTTCCGTTTGACCCCCCAAATCTATCCTGTGGCACCCTATGAGATGCTCAGATTTTGTTTCACTTCTAGTTTCATACTGTGGATGGACGAAATCCATTTCGCACCACCTAAAACACCCTGGCGTGATGCTTCTGTAAATACCAACAAACGTTATGATTTGCTATGGTTTCAAAGTGGAGCGAAATGGATTTCGTCCACCCACAGTATCCACCCCAAACTTGTTTGAAGGAGACCCCAGCCAAGCCGCCAGCTCTGCCTCCGGCATGGCCTCGGCCTCCGTCTCGACCTCCACCTCGTTCTCCGCCGGCGCTTTGGCCGCGCCTTGCCGGGTGCCCGAAAAGGGAAGGGACCAGCCTGGGGAGGTTGAGCCCGGTTTTGGAAGGGAAACCAGCCCTGGAACGCCTCCAAACTACAAAAGCTGGGCCATCCTTGCAGCTAAAATTAAGGGATCATGTCCCCATGTTCTGAGGGTCTTGGCGACTCCAAACTACAGTGAAAAAGATTGAAAAAGGACTTGGGAAACCCTCGACTCCTTCTTCCTGAAGATAGGGGGAGATCAGATAAAGGGACAAGGCTCCACCTGCTGTCCAGCACACTCCAAACCACCGACAAAGCCTTACCCCACATCCATCAAATTCATTTTGGGTGGCCCCAAACTTCCACTCCACACCTTTCTCAAAACCAACGGCCAAACGACACCAGCGCGGCACCTCGCCCGTCGCCTTTCAAGGCGTCGAAGGCCAACTCCAGACATCCGGCGTCCTCGGATGCAGCTGATCAAAACTAACCTTCTTGAAACAGCCTCCTTGTGGCTTCCATTCCTTGTACCCTCCCGTCCACGTTGCCATGGAACCCACCAGAGGATCCATTTTGCTTGAAACATTGTCCTCCAGGACCCCCTGTGAGCTTCCATGTTGGTGGATGGGAGGGTGTTAGGTACCTCTCAATTGGTGGTTTGGTTTGGTGGTGTGGATTTTGGGAAGTGGTTCCCATGTACCCAGATGTTGAAGTGCCCAAACCACCAAACCACCAACTAGGGGAAGCTGAATAATTGAATATACCTGGAAACCCCAATGGAAAATTGTTCTGCCTTGCCACAAGTGAAAAGGGCTCCATTCGGGGGCCAGGTCCCTGTTATGAGACCTGCCTACCAGGCAGGCAGGCAGCCAGGCAGGCTGCCAAGCAAGCAAGCAAGCAAGCAAGCAAGCAAGCAAGCAAGCAAGCAAACAAACAAACAAACAAGCAGACATACAAACAAACAAGCAGACATACAGACAAATCGACAAAACGAGAGAGAGAGAGAGACAAGCAGGCAGACAGACAAACAAGCCAAACAAACCAAGCCAAACCAAACCGCACAAAAACAACAAACATTGGAAAACACAATACAACGGAACAAAAACAAAACATTGCTAAACAAGCAAGCAGGCAAGCCAGGAAGCCAGTTAACTAATGAATTAATAAACTAATAAATAAACGAATCGATTAAAGGACAAACCGACAAACCGATGACCTGCAAACCTTCAAGCCGACGAACCAAAACGAACCGACAAACTCACGAATCGATGAATCGACAAAACAACGAACAACCAACGAACGAACCAACGAGCGAACCAAACAACCAACACACCAACGAACCCCCAAAAAAAGCACTACATACCAACGAACTAACGAAAACCAGCGAACCAACAAACGAACTAACCAAGGAACGGACCAGCAAATCAACGAACGAACCCACGAACCCACGAACCCACAAACCAACCAACCAACAAACAAACCAACGAAGCAAGAAAGCAACGAACCAAGCAACCAAGGAACCAATGAAACCAACAAAAACCAACGACCCAACGACCCAACGAACCAAGGAACCAAGAAACCAAGGAACCAGTGTTTGTTTGATTGTTTGTTTGGTTGTTTGCTTGTTTGTTTGTTTGTTTGTTTGCTTGATTGTTTGTTTGGTTGTTTAGTTGTTTGTTTGTGCGTTTGTTCGTTTGGTTGCCTCTTTGTTTCATTTTGTTTGTTTGTTTGTTTGCTTGCTTGCTTGCTTGCTGGCTTGCTTGCTTGCTTGCTTGCTTGCTTGCTTGCTTGCTTGCTTGCTTGCTTGCTTGCTTGCTTGCTTGCTTGCTTGCTTGCTTGTTGGTTTGTTTGTTTGTTTGTTTGCTTGCTTGCTTGCTTGCTTGCTTGCTTGCTTGCTTGTTTGTTTGTTTGTTTGTTTGTTTGTTTGCTTGTTTGTTTGTGTGGTTGTTTGCTTGTTTTGTTTGTTTGCTTTTTCGTTTCGTGTTGTGGTGTTCTTGTTCGTGGCTTGTGTGTTTGTGCTTGTGTCCTTCTCTGCTCGTGTATCTTGAGTTCTTCATTTATTCATTTCTTTCTTTCTTGCTTTCTTTCTTTCTTTCTTTCTTTTCTTTCTTTCTTTATTTCTTTCTTTTCTTTCTTTCTTTCTTTCTTTCTTTTCTTTCTTTCTTTCTTTCTTTCTTTTCTTTCTTTCTTTCTTTCTTTTCTTTCTTTCTTTCGTTCTTTCATTTCTTTCTTTCTTTCTTGATTTTCTTTCTCTTTCTTTCTTTCTTTCTTTCTTTCTTTCTTTCTTTCTTTCTTTCTTTCTTTCTTTCTTTCTTTCTTTCTTTGTTTTTTTCTCTATGAACTTCTTGATGTTTATCTTTGTTGCTGCCTTTCTTGCTTTCTTTATTTCGTTGTTTCATTGTTTCTACCTGTCTTTGTTTCTTTCTTTCTGTCTTCCTTCCTTCCTTCCTTCGGTCGGTTTGTTGGTTTGTTTGTGTGTGCCTTTCTTTGAGGGTACTTTTTCAGGAAACAAAGAAAACAGAAGGACGATACCACCCTGGGAACCAAGCAAAAAGGGAAAAGCAAAAGAAGACAGGAAGCAGAGCAAAAAGGGGAAGCCAAAGGGACACCTTCGCCCTAAAAACTCCCAAAAGGGAAACAGGCCGCGGCCAAGGCTCGAAGATCCGGAGCTTGTTCTCCGCATGCTTCGAGGCGAGGTGGCAAAGCGCCCCCAGCGCCTGGAGATCTTCCGGTGACTCGATGGATAATTTGTGCGACTGGGGCCACGGAAGTGCGCGGATGTGCAGATGTGTTGGAGACAGTTTGAGCTTCTCGAAATGCCCACAGCGAATGGTTGGCTTCCTCTCTTGGTGTCCCCAACCCACTTGTCCCAGTGGTTCGAGTTCCCGGTTTTGATTTCCCTGTCCTGATTTACCAGGGATCCGTTCGCCGCGAGTTGGATGGTTCAGCTTGTTCCCTGGCTTCCCTGAGAAACAGCAAGTTTAGCTGCATGCCTAGTATCCCTTAGAAGGGTTTAGGGGTTTGACGGAGGGCTGAACTATGCTACTAGGCCGACAGTGGCGAAACGCCTAAGATCCACGGGGCTAATTATGAAGAAAAAAGACGGTGTTCACTGCTTTTGTTCCTTCAAAGCCCTCATGGAAACAGACTTAGTGCCTTGGGGAAAATGGCCCAAATATTTGGTGATTTGTTTTATTCAGCTCAAAAAGAGGAAATGTGGTTTAATTTTGAAAAAAACAACTTGAAAGGCAAACACCACCTATCCTAGGTGTCCTTGTGGACAATTAGATGGCACTGCGAAGTGATTTAGGGCCAAACTGGAACTGGCGGAAAATTTTGTTCAACCAAGCTGAAGCTTGCAGGACACCTATGCCAAGTGCCGAAAATAGAAAGACGTGCCCCGAAGTCTGCACTATCCTCCCACCTACCGCACCCGTTGTCCAACAAACATGAAAGTGGACATGGGCTTCTGCAAAAGAGAAGGAATCCAACACCCTCCTGTCAGCTTCGGCGATTGTTGGGAGGGTACTGACATGGAACCAACCGGCCCTTTTGAACGAGCGCCTGCAGTCAGTTCCGCGGCTGGAAGGGTAATTCGTGTAACTTGAAAATCTGAGAACGAGAAGGACCGGACGCTGCGCTTCGATTTCTTTGCAGCAATGCAAGCCCACCAGTTCCGGTGCCACCGGTCGAGCTCCATGCTTGGAAGATTCAGGCAGCTTAGAATCAACCAACCAAGAATGATTTCATAAGCCTCCTAGAAACACACGTGAGGCCTTGCCCCTATACTTTATCTTCCTTGTCGCAAAGTGATCTTTCGCTGACAAGACTGGACCGTTCTGGACCTTAAAGGACAACCAAAAGAACACCAGCCATAGAAATCCTTGGCACCCATATCTCCTTATTTTCAAGGCCCATGTCTCTGCGAAGAGTATCGTTCACCTCCCTTCAAGGAATGAAGAGGATCCGGCACCGGGCTTGTCATATGTGAGCTCACAACAAAACCTCAGCTGCTGCACAGAAATGATACGGTGATTCGAGTGCATAGCTACTGTTAAATGAGCAATAGGGGCACTAGTATTCTCACATAGGAGACCGCCTAGTCTACTCTTCATTCCTTATTCCCGAGTGAATACTGTGGATAGACAAAGTCTTGCCCCAGGGATGAATGAAGCCGCGTAAGTCTTGGGACAAACCCCCTACCAAATTGGTCTTGGAGGTCGTTTGGAGCTTTCAGATACCATCGTACTGGCAGACAAAATCCACGCCACGCACCTGTTGTGCCTTTTTTGGGGAACACCCCCCCCAGATGTTGCTTTTTGCATAAAGAAAATAAAATGGTGGGTTTCCTGATGGTGTCCCTTTAAACCCACCCCAACAAAACTATCCTCATTTGCTTGAGGCGCGAGCTATCCGCCGGAATTTGCTCTGTGTGATCACCCAAAACCCGCGTCCCATGTTGCCATCTCTTTACAAAGGTAGGTTAAGCACGAACCCCAGCGACCAAAAGCATATAACTTGTTCTAACCCTCTGCCATGTACCTTTTACTCCAAGAATCCAACTCCCAACCTTTGGCCTCACTTGGCCGTATTATCGGCCTTTGGCCTTGTCTGGTCTTTGATAAGGCTCAGCCCCCCACCTCTGTCGCCGCTGCCCGGTCGCCCGATGCCTGACGGCATGCTTTTGCCAATGAGGCTACATGTCTGGATGCGCGAAATCTAGACTCGGGGGGAAACTAGAAACAGTTGGAAAAACTGGGTTCTATTCAAAGAATCATCTACTTCAATGTGTTGAACTCGTTCCCTTTTGGATTCCGTTAACTGAAATTCGGCACCCAGGAGGGGACGAGAACAATCAACACAGAAACAAGGGCAACCCTGCTGATTGCCGTAATTTACCAGGCCTTCGTGCCTGCTGTCAGTAAGCATCGCCCTAATGTAAGGGGCTAAAAAATTGGAATAGGGCTATGGGGTACGTACGCGAAAACAAAGTTAAGTCATGGCCAACGAGAAACCTCCTCCAAGAAGGAGGTGACAGCCCTCCATAGATCGTCATGGATGCTGAGTGTTTTTGAAAGACAAGCAAAACCACATCGTCTCAGAAAGCCGCTGCAGCAAAAACAAGAAGGTCGCTGAAGAACCCACTCCATATATTCCCGCAAAGGAAACCATAGGGGATGCTTCATAGGGGTGGTTCCAACTCATTCCCTGAGAGCCAGCAAGAAAATTGGGTCTCAATTCGGCATCCCCAGGAAAGGGACCGGCCTCGTTCTCGCTCGAGTTTCGGAACGAATTGGTCGCCATTGCCAGATCTCGTTTTTGGACGACCCACCGCGGGAAACTGCTCGTTGAACCAAAGGAACCCGTCCGATTCTCCACCCGGACGGGTTGTGATCATACTCGAATCGAGCAACCCAAGAGGAAACTCGGCCAGACCATACCTCTTTGTGGTTTGGGAGCGTTGGAGGTGTTCCGCTTAGCGGCTTCTCAATTGCCCTCTTCTTGCAGGGGTTGCAACTTTACTGGTTTGCACCTACAAGAAGGGGTTCAGACATACCTTTCTGGGTGGCTTGCACCTAAGGGTGCCATCCAAACCATGGCTTTCCTTCCCCGGCTTAAACGCCCGAAGACCCGCCTCCAAGCCACGCTGCGCGAGCTCATGCAGCTCCTCAACGCCACCCTGCTGGGCCTGAGCTACGCTCGGGCGCGCTCGGAGCTCAAAGGTCGCGGAGTCGAGGTTCGGGCGCGGCTGGCGATTGCCGTTCGCCAACGTGTGAAGTGATACTTGTGTTGCTGCTTCTCAGGGAATGAGTTGGAATGACCCCTAGAAAGCGTCATCTATGCCTTCCTTTCAGGGACAACACCCTGGGTCATTCCCGACTGAGCACCAGCAAGACTTGGTCAGTAATTGTTTTCTAGTCGTTTGAAGAGGTTGTTCAAACCTCCATTTGTTGGCCACATGATTTTCCGGCATTCCGAAAGCGGTTTGAACCAATAGTTGTCAAACAACGAGCTCCCAATTTGCCCAGGTTCGGCAGAACGTGGCTCCCCCCCCCCGTTTGGATGGAACTCCACCCCCCCCTTTGTCCAGACGCGTTGAAACATCGGCTCTTGCTGCTGCAACATGGGACCCCTTTCAAAACGGAAATCGTTGCTAAATTCAAAACCCAATTGTCCGGATCTGTTGAAACCGGAGGAATCCCCTTTTGGATGCGAACCTAAAGGAACCGCCAGAGGATCCCCCTGTTTGGATGGAAAACAAAAAGTCAACCTAAAGTTTGAGGCGTTTGCCAAGTTTGACTTCGTGTTTTTTGGGGGGTATCCCTTTTTGAGGTTGCACTTAAATAAACAAAGACAAACAACCCTCATTTGTAGGTTGCCCCAAAAGAATGACACGGCACCTCCCTTGCCTTAGGGTCACTGGAGTTCATGCAATTGACTGGTGGCTTCCCAGACCCCCCCCCCAAAACAAAAAAAGAAGAAAGAAAAAAACAAGAGAAGACAAAAAAGGCAGGAGCCACCTAAGGCGATCATGTGTCACAATAGCGGGGGTGTTCCCTCAATTGAAACCAACCCGAAAGTTCAGCTTCTCTAATTGGTGGTTTGGATTGGCTTCCCACGTGTCCTCTGCAAGAAATAAGAACCAGGGATTCAAATCCCCAAACCACCAACTGGGGGTTCCTCTCAAAAAAAGGCTAGAGGAGCAGCCCAGTGGCTGATGGGAGAAGCCAAAGGAACCAAAAACAAGTCGAAACAAACGCAAAGAAGCCTCTCCTCCCCTCCCTCCCCGCCCCCCCACAAAAAACAAGGCCCCGGGCGATGAGGCCCTTGGTCTGCAGGGAGTGGCACGCAAAGTGGCGCACCGCATGGGCGGCGAAGCGGGGCGCGCCGCAGGCGTCGCGCCGGTGCTGGCGCAGCACCTCCAAGGCTTTGGGTGGGCCGTTTCTGTGTCACCTCTTTCTGGTGCGAGTTTCGCGGGTCGTTTTTTGGTCTGTGTGTGTGTGTAAGTGCGCGTTGTTTCCTCTCTTCTCTTTGGTCGGGGTTCTTGCTTGTTCTCAGGAGGATAGGTTCAAGCACTTGTCGCCCGCTTTGCAAAAGATATCCAAAAAGGGGGGGCACAAGTAATAAACCCTGCCCAGAACACACTGTATATCAACATCTGTGCATGCGGTGGCTTGAAGGAACGGCCAGTCACAACTATTTATCCTCAGAAAGAAAAAAAAGCACGTGCGAGGAGCAGGGAGCAGGTGGAGTGCTGCCAAGGTGTCGGCAAACTCAGTGGTTCCTGACCCCTCATTCAACTACTCATGTTCCTTTTGCAAGGGTGGTTCCCTTGGCTTCCTCATGTTGATTCCTGATTGATCAACCTCCCCGCTTTGTTAGCGGGGTTCACTGGGGGGTTTTATCAATCAGGGGTCAACACTGGCAAATGGAACCTGGATTCCTTGACCCAAACCGTTGAGGAGGGATCTTTTTGCCCCATTCGCAATGAAAGCCAGGCGCTCTTCCTGCCTTCGTTTACTATACCGTTGCCCAAGCAAAGCTTTTAATAAGTTCTCCTTGAGAACTGAGGCCAAGGCGAGCCTTGGCCATTGGGTTCCTCAAAGATGGTCATCCCAAGAATTCCTTTTTGCATGGGGCTTACCAAGGGAGGAACCCTACCCTTGATTCCTCCAAAAAAGTCAACCTAAGTGACTACATGAAAAAGCCCACTGAAAATCAAGCTTGGAAAAGTGAGTGGGTCACAACAAGGGCTTCAATCACTGCAAGGCACTTGCCAAATGCGGATTGCCTTTTTGCACACACCCCTCTTGCTTTGGTTGAAATACAGGGACACCTAGAAGAGTGACTCTGCACAAATTGGAGGTTCCTCTTATTAGTTTCCCCAAAAAGCGGGTCGACATGCAGGCCAGAAGGGCAGGTTGGGCTGACCCACCAAGCAAAAGCAAGCGTTGCAAGGTAAGGCAGTCCCCCTTCAGCACATCAAAAGATCTCCCCTCACATCAGGAAGCTCATCTCCCCCCGCCCAATCGTGGAAAAACGTGAGCTCCGGTTTCACGCTAACCCCGTCACACGAGCTACCCGCGCTCTGGACGCCCACCTGCATCAGCAAGGTGATGGCGCCCTCTTCGGCAGCGCCCTCCTGACAGATCCTAAGATTCCAATGCAACAAGCTGCTCCCATTCGACCCGAGCAGATGGGTGGCCACCCTGGTAAGGGCCCCTTGTAGAGGCTCGGAGCAATCCTGCACGCCCTCTTCCACCGTAGGCCGGCCGGAGCGCTGCTGAAATCGCATTGGTTCAACTCGTGCAAAGGCTGTAGACACCCCTAGCCTCACCCAAAACAAATACAGCTCTGCTGGTCGTGGTGATGTCGCGTTTTTGTTCAAGACGGCCAAAGGAAATCCAGTGAACCGTACCCCTTTCCAAGGAAACCCTGTTGATATTTCAACTTCCAGCGGAGCCGAAGGCGAAATTTCACCCCAAAAAAACATGTTTGTTGGTGTGAAATGTGGAAACATCCAAGCGAACAATGGCGTACAGGGGGCTACTTGTGGTTGTGGCATGATTCCCAGAGTCACAAACCAGACTTGCAACCAACCGACCTACCAACCAACCTACCTACCAACCTACCTACCAACCAACCCACATACCAACCAACCAACCTACCTACCTACCTACCTACCAACCTACCTACCTACCTACCAACCAACCAACCTACCTACCTACCAACCAACCAACCAACCAACCAACCAGCCAGCGAACCAGCCAACCAACCGACCTACCTACCTACCAACCTACCAACTACCTACCAACGAACCTACCTACCAATCTACCTACCTACCTACCAAACTACCAACTACCTACCTACCAACCTGCCTACCAACCAACCTGCCAACCAACCAACCTACCATCCAGCCACCCAACCTACCAACCTACCTACCTGCCAACCTACCAACCTACCAACCAACCTACCAACCAACCTACCAACCAAGCAGCCAGCCGACCAGCCAACCAACCAACCTACCTACTTACAAATCTACCTACCTACCTACCTACCTACCTACCTACCTACGAGCCAACCTACCAACCAACCTACCTACCAATCTACCTACCTACCTACCAACCTACCAACTACCTACCTACCAACCTGCCCACCAACCAACCTACCATCCAGCCAGCCAACCTACCAACTACCTACCTACCAACCTGCCCACATACCAACCAACCTACCGTCCAGCCAGCCAACCTACCGACTACCTACCTACCAACCTGCCCACATACCAACCAACCTACCATCCAGCCAGCCAACCTACCAACCTGCCTACCTGCCAACCATACCTGCCTCCTTTATCCCATTCCACTCACCTCGGCTCCTTGACCTTGAGCTCGGACACCGCCAGCTGCCCCAGCGCCAGGCACGCGGCTCGCTGCAGCGAGCAGCTGCGCATGAAGCGGCGCATGGCGCCCAACAGCAGCTCTATGCCCCCTGCGCAAGGAGATGTGGGCGGTAGTTTTAGTTGGCACAAGTTGTGTGGCCTATCCCATGGTTGTCAAGGGGCACCCAAAAAAAATTGGAACCCTGTTAGACCCGAATAGACCTTATTAGTCGCGATTGGCCCCTATTGGGATTGGGGGGCCTTTATTGGGGGCCCTTGACAACCATGGGAGCATATATGGCAAGCAGATCTATGTTGCAACCCTCTGGTCAATCTTCATTGTGTCCACGTTTTGGTGAGTAACCCTCATTCTGCCTCATGGTAATTCGGTGAGTGCGACCAATTTACAACTCTTGATGATTCAAGTCTGTCCGGAAACAACCTTGGGTGTCACCCCCTTTACTTCAGTAAATCATTGTAAATATTGACCATGCCCATACGGGGTTGAGTTCAAATGGGCCCCTTGGTGGACACCATTTGCTTAAAGTCCCTTGAACAAAAAAATGTCCAGCACTGTAGTGATAGATTCCCTTTGAAACCATCCAGGGAAAATAACAAACTTCATGGAATTGTGGTCGGCCTTTTGTTCTCCTTTGAAACCCACCTTTTGGATATGCAGGGAAGCCAAAAGGCAAATACCGTGGTATTGGGAGTGCTGATCAAAAGGTGCGATGAACATGGGATGACCATTGGATGGAACACCATCAAAAGAAGACGATATGTCCCACTACACAGGAAAAGCTATCCATGGCCATTTGGGCGGCTCGTCTTTTGTTGGAGTTGGCACCCCACTTTTTTGGTGGTTTCAAACGGAAAAACAAAAGGAAACCCACCAATTGTGGGTTCCCTAAACAAGGGCACACCTGTATGCAGAGAAACCATAAAAGGCACATAAGGAAAGGGAAGGGGTGAATAATTCTAGGCTCTGTTCTTAGGTCAAGTAAGGCTGGTTGCAAGGGAAAACGAAGGCAACCGCAACAGCGCAAAAAGCACGGCAGTGGCAATTTTTGATCAAAGTCCAAGGGTTGTGAACCTTGCTGGAGATTCCATGGCCACAGCTTGGAAGACCTGTGAATATGGGTGTCTGTCTTCGAGGGTACACGATCTCAAAGTGAAACCAGCATAACCCATCATCTTTAAGATCCCCGTGCACACGCTTTTCAAGATGGGCTTTCAGCCCTGGTGAGCTTCCCTAGCCTTTGGGAGGCAACCCCGAGGAAACAGATTCGGTGTCTCGATCTGGGCTCGACAGTAAATTTTGATAGTTGCTGTTGCGCCAAACAAGGGAAACAAGGGGGACCCCGACCCCCCAAATCAATGCAGGCGTCCCTTTGGTGAAACTCAAGCCTAAGAAGGGACTGTTACAACAACACACAGGCGCGCACGCAGGCACGCAGCAAACCCAGAGGATGGACGGATTGCCTTGTCGGACTACCAGATGCCGCGACTGGCTCCGAAGCAGCACCGAGCTCTCTTGGTGCCGGCCCTTGGCGTAGTCCGGGGAGACCTGACACATGGTATGTGTCAAGGGTGGGGCATGTGGGTATGTGTTAAAGTAAAAGAAACCAGAAGATTGTGAGTTTTCCTTTGGCATCCGTTTAAACGGCTGGCGGCAAAAGTACTCCCCAAAATGCACACCTCCGACGGAAATAAGGGAACCCCCGCAGTAAAGAACGGCTTCGCGGGCTCTACCCTTGAATCAAAAGAAGACACTAAGTGGGTGGAAAGCAAAAGTTGGGCCTGGTGGTTGGGCCACGAAGGAGGCGTTGGATGTGTGGCTGCCCACTTTTGAGGTAACAATGTGTTGTACTTATCTTTCTGCCTGCAGGAGGTTGGCCCTAGCATCTGCGAACATCACAAGCATCACCCTCCATCGTCATCCCCAACTTTATCCCCAACATTATCAGCATCAAGCATCACCATCGCCAACATCACCGAATCACAAGCATCATCTGCATCATTGGCATCCAATATCCCAATATCACTCTGCACCCAATCTCTCCGACATCACCAGCATCTCCAACATCACCAGCATCTCCAACATCACCGGCATCTCCAACATCACTAGCATCCCTGACATCACCAGCATCACCTTTACCATACCCAACATAGCCACGCATCCCCAACATTGCCAGCATCACTTTCATCCCTAACATGATCACCTGCCTTTACCATCAGGAATGCAGTTCTGCATCACCTGAATCATCAGCATCCACAACATCGCCAGCATCACCTTCATCACCAGCATCACGTTCATCGCGATCCCCAACATCAACAGCATCACCGGCTGAACTAAATCATATCCAGCATTCAGCATAATTGTGCATCATCTGCATCCCCAACATCACAAGTATCAACCCACATCACGAGCATGAAGGATCGCTGCAGACCAAGTCATAAGCTGCCCTGTCTGAAAAAACCTTGCATTCTTGCAAGAAATTCAGTCAGTGTTACCAGCAACAGAAGCGGCTCCTGGTTCAGTCTTGAGTCTTGACCCAGTGTAAATACATTCTACTGCTCTGCTTCCTTCATGTTTAGTCACCACGACGAAATCCTGCGTATGCTCTTTCCAATCATGGAAACGTCCCTTTTCACAACATAGAAATTTCCAAAAACCATCAGCTTCCACTATTCAACAGGATCCCCTGACTCACAAATCCCACTATTCTGAATCCGTGATTTGTTGGGGATTCTTTCTTTCGATGGAATTACCTGATTAATCATCGGGGTCTTGAGGTTGATTCACCTCGCTCTTTCCGAAAACCCATCAAAGTTCCCAAACAAACCGAGCACCAGGACGACAAACCACGGATGGGCAACTTCGTGTCTAAAACTGCTTGAAGCCTCCATTCTTCTCCAAAAAAAAACGCATCTCTTTTGGCAAGCTGCCTTTTTTGGGTGGGGCCACGCAAAAAACACCAAAAACAAAAACGATCCGTGCGTTCCTTCAGGAGACGCGCATTCTGCTTCCCGCCTGGTTGTCCTCGGAGCCGGCGGTGAGCAGCGCCAGGCAGACGCAGCCCCGCTCCTGGAGCCCCTCGCAGGCCCCGAAGCGCTGCATGCCTCGGAG